ATATTAACCACGTATGCAGGTGATAAAGGTATATTGCTGCATAAGTAAGGGAAGTTGACGATTGGAAAGTTAAAGTCATCACCTTTGCCAAAGCTTAATTGTTATGATACCATTCACGTCTTTTTCAAGTAAAATATTCAAATATGAAACAAATATGTCAGACTCTGTGGCATATTTTATCTGTAACTAACCGGGATTTATCGTATCGACATAAGAATGGAAATAACCATTGCTATTTGACAATACGTCGTCGATATATCAGAGCAAGTGTTTTCTCCTTTTTTCAAATTCTGCTTCAAATGAATACAAAAATAGGTCAGCTTTAAACGGGATGCAGTTGGTACCCATGGGAATTAAATAGATTGTTGGAAGACCAGGTCTTCAAAAACCACATAGAGATTGTCAGCATCTTTTTAGATATAAACTTCATTTTTATTAAAAAGCAGCTGTCAATGATATTAAAAAAATCTGGACTTTAATCTATCTTGGTTAATGGTGTGTTACAACGCACTTTGAAAAATTACGCACTTTGAAAAAAATTTTCAAAGTGCGTTAAAATTTGGGACCAAGCTAACGCACTTTGAAAAAAATAATTTTTTTTCAAAGTGCGTTAATATGGACCATATTAACGCACTTTGAAAAAAAAGGTAAAGATTGATCAATATTCCTTCAAATAATCGGTATGATAAACAGATTCTGGTTTGATAACTTTTTTTATGATAAAGTCACAGTAGGACCTGAGATATTGACGTTTTAAATGTTTAAGGTTTTGATAAAATAAAAGGGAAAATTTTTCAACGTCATACCAGTTAGGTAAATACATAATTATATGAATGCTTTGAGTATAGCATAGACATCGAGACTGGGCGAAGGGCCAGGGGAGGGGATGGGGGGCTAAGCCCCCCACTTATTTTGGAAAGATATATACATCGTATAAGCATTGAAAATGCAGCGTACCCTTTTTAGGTTTATTGCTCCCCTCCCCCGTTTGTTACCGACACCTATGTATTGGAAAGATAAAGATTTGGACTGAGGGATCTTATACCCGTCTTCTCCTCTTTTCGACGGGAGTAAATCAATTCATTTTTGAGGTTAGGATTAGGCTTAGTTTTTTGAAAGATAAATAAGTAAAATAACAAATAAAATATTTCCATGAATAAAATATGATTTTTTTCCCAAAGTGCGTTATGTGTCTCCATGGTAAAATATATTGATGTAGAATCTTAACGCACTTTGAAAAAATTTTTCAAAGTGCGTTGAGTTGGTCCCAAATTTAATGCACTTTGAAAACTTTTTTCAAAGTGCGTTGATATTGTCCCAATTTTAACGCACTTTGAAAAAATTTTTCAAAGTGCGTAATTTTTTCAAAGTGCGTTGCCACAGTGGTGTATAAAATTGAAAAAGTTGTAAGTTTTTAAGCTGTTGATTTTGGCCTTCTGATGAGAATTTTTATGTGTCCACATCTGATTAACATTTTTGCACAGTACTCTATAATTTGCTCCTTGCTACTGGTAATATTCTGGTGAGGAGTAAAGTCAGAGGCTTGTTTGAACATTTACTGGCACCCGCTATGTATTTTATATTTTTTGATAATTGCAATGGCTCATAGACACATCAAAATTCTTTATTTTTAGATTTTCTTTAAGAAATTTACCATTATGATTTTTCAAAAATATATTTTTATAATATAAATCGTCAAATCGATATAGATTATTTGCATTATGAGAAAGCAGTACCGTTCTAGATGTGTGTTTTATTGTTCTTCGTAAAAGATAAATATATACTGTCTAGTTTTTCAATATTTCTTCCATGTTTAAAGTGTTATTGCCCTTCTTGATTAAAGTAAAACATTTAAATATTGCTCCTGAGCAAGGTTAGAGAAAAATGAAGGTTTCAGATGATCTTTTATTGGAGCTTGGACACGTGCCAACCAAACGTGGTTCCTTGGAGCACTTAATTAAAGAGTACAAAACTTCTCCACAAGAAATTTTCTTAATTTTCATTCACAAGCCGTTAAATGAATAATGAACACATAAAGCGATTGCAACTTGCTACTTGTAGTTGCCGGGGGTATCTGTCTTATTAGGGATTATGTTAAAATTGTAAAACACAATGTACAAATTCATAGGATAAGTAAATAAATTTTATTACATTTTTACCCGTGAAATACAGTAATTTATTCAATGAATAAAAATCCTGTCACAGTGTGACGAATATCAGAAGTGCGGGAAAACTCTCGATTTCCCTTCCCATAACGAAGATTGTTGTAAGAAAATCTTCCTTGACCTAATATAAGATAGATGGAAATAAATAGACCATTCTGACAGCGAATAAAACTGTCAAAATTACCAAAAATTTATTGCTAAATCCATGTTTACAGTGTTTTCACCTCACTTATCTCTGACGTTTCAACCGCTCAACTATGACGTCATGTAGCCTATGACTGTATTACAAAAAGACAGAGGCAAAGGAAAAATCAAAGAATTTTTTTAAAAAATGTAATAAACAGAAAATTCAATGTTTGAAGTACTCGTGAAAAGATAAAAAAAAAAATCCTGTCCCACTCGTGAAATAATTCCATATTCAACTACAAAACATTAAATATCTTCTATTTATTTATCCAGTATCTTAAATAAACAAATGTATAGTTAAGAAAAGTGAATGGACACACTCTAAAATTGTCCCTCCGATTACTCATCCAGAAATATAGTCCACACAGAGCATCAGACAATCCAACAACCTCCATTCTAAAGGGAAAAAATTCAACAAAAAAGGTATGGAAAACCAAAGGATCCAAAATTCCAACTCTTCTTTCTTTAAATGATAACATTTTAAACTTTAATTTGTACTTTGATAATCCTTAATTTATAATTAATTTAGTCAATATTCTTCTATTACAATCTTTTTCGAAAAAAGAAATCAACCTTTTTTGATAATCTTTAAATGGAGAAGACTTTATCTCTTATGTTTGAAGAAAATATAATTAAATCAAATGAAGTTAACAAGTTTGAAAAACAAAAATATTAACAGAAGAAATTACGTTAGGACAAGACCATTAATTAATGCATTTCAAAATGACATTTTTGTAAGTTTAGAAATCATGTAATATAACACATCTTCCTTAAAAAAAATTCTGGGTCCTAAAACTCGTCTGAATAAGCCTTGGTTGTGAATGGTCTATTGCTTACTTTACTTTTAAACATCGTCAAGTAAAATAAGTGGGTTTTTTTCACAAGAACAATTTTGGTCTCCTAGCAACTGACGTCCAAGCATAAGCCAAATCCCTCTCATAGCGAAGAGAAAAGATGGTCTAATTTGATAATGTTAGCTTGATAGGACTGTCAGTGACAGCACCAACAACAAAAATAATAAATAGGTACACTTAAATAAATTTGACAAAACCTACGTGATAAAACGTGATGAAAGAAATGTGACTTTGGTGTATGTATATCACTGGTACTTAGTCTTTGTTGAAATTTCTTTTCTATATCCGTGAGGATATAGAGTTCATTCATTCTCTTGTTTATAAACATTTATTGTAAATTATTTTTTCCTTTTTTTTTTTTTTTTTTTTTTTTGCTATTTTAAATAAAGTCATTTAAAATTTGAATCATATTTGAGACCTTTTAAAATTAAATGATAATTTTAAGAGTTATTCTTCTTGGTAAAGGAGCCAAGATATATTTTAAGAAAGACAACTTTTATACATTGAAAATACTTATCAACTGTGTATGCTGTGTAATTCCTTTTGCAGGGGTAAAATGGAGAGTTTTATAAAAGATTCATTAGGTTTAGGTTTAGGTTTAGGGTAAAAGTTAATCAACATTTACTACATTTATACCTGTAAGTATAAATGTCGTATTTGAAAAATCAATTATTATGAGACTTTAAAATTGAACTACCTCGATCAACGTTTTTTTTTTTTTTTTTTTTTTAGAAATAAATTTCCCACAAGATGATTATGTATTTAAAATTTCCTTAAGTCTCACAGGTTGTCGATAAATGCTCTGATAACATATCATTTAGAATTTATTAATTTACATTCCATACCAATGAAGTTAACTTTTTTAACTTCAAGGAAAAAACAGCAGATTATTGTATAAATAATAGGGAAAAAATTAAAATGAAAAAAGAAAATACTGAAAAAATACTTTTTGCTTTAGAAGGGGGAGAACAGTCCTTTCTGAATAAATGTAAAGTTTTGCTGGGTGGACGTCTAGCATAACTGTTATTTACAATCATATACTTCATTCAGAAATTATGAAATTTACATAAATATGTAAAAGAAGCACATTTTTCTGTCCTGGTCATGAAGGAAATATAAAACATATACATATACAAGTATTCAAAATTATTTGTATTAAATGATTTACATATTTTTTTACTGCTTTAAGGCACGTGGTTCTATTTTTTCTGGCATTTGGAATGTAATGAAAAAAGATAGCCTGGTAATTCACCTACTGTAAAAGAAATTATAGAGATAATAAAATTCACAAATATTCCTGTAAAATAATCAATTAAACAGTACAGTCCTCAATCCTAAAAAAAATGACTTGTATCAAAGAATGATATCAAAAGTTTCTTTTTAGTCATCATTTCGCAAGTTGTATGGTCGACACAGTGACATTGTCAGCAAAACAACCTATCCTGACTGACGGTTTTTAATTTATTTAGCCATAATTAACACACTGAACTGTCTGCGGATTTTCCCGTATTTCCCACCTGCCCGTCGTCAGGGGATACTCATTCCTCCATTGCACCTGGTCCTAATCTTCATTATCCATATTTCATCAAACCATAGCCGCATGAAAGAGATTTTCTATAATCTGTGATCAAATTAGGAAAAACTTAAAATGCCTTTGTTTTTTTGTTTTTTTTTTTTTTGAAAAGGAGCAGCAATTTAATGTAGACATTACTACATGTATTTCTGAATTGAAATATCTTAGTTGTTTTGTGAGATAACAGATAACGATATCAATTTTGCTCGACATTGGCACTCGCGTTATCTTAAACCTTTAGGAATGAAAAATTGATTTTACTGATTATTTGGAATACTGTGATCGAGTGTATTTTGTCCTGTGAATGTAGTTTTAACTTCCGTATTGGTACATATTGTTTTTATGATGTTTTCTATTTTCTTGTTTATATTTTCCACCCTCATCAGTACATCAGGTAGGAAAATGTCTCTTTCGAAACCAACAAGTGCAAATAATGAAGAGTTTTATAATAAATGAATTACTATTAATTTTACAACCTAATTTTTTCATTGCTAAAATTTATTTGCATCTTCACCATCATTTGATAATAAATTCTAATTTGTCTTCGATTTTTATTTAATAACGTAGTTTATGTCCTTATTTTAAATCTTTCAAACTGAAAGTAGTTCTTTATTAACATTTACAGAATTTGTCTTCTTGTTTAATAATTTTTTTGTTTATCTATCAATCTAAGCTATAACAATATTAAATCAATATCGATTATGTTTTAATAGTAAGTATCCGGAATTTCTTTCAATATAGATATTGAAATGAATCCTTTCAATAAGAAATTTTAAAATGATAATTTAGGCATTCCAGGCAGTCCAGTTTCTTTGATACATAATGCGTAAGTTTCAATGCATTAAATAATCTTATACCTATCTTATGATATCTAATATCTTTGATAGGAGCAATTCTTTGCTACCAATGTTCAGATGCCAAAGCAGAAGGAGCTTGTAGGCATGACAACAATGGACTCCTGTCAGATTATCAGGGTATTCAAAACAGAACCAATATCACAGATACAGAGTTCAACACAGAGTTTACGTATCTAAAGAACTGTACAAGAAGCTGGGGAGAGCAATGTCTGATAGAGAACATACGTGAAGCAGGTAACATATTATTAAAGAAGAACACGGCTAATAGCAGTTTGATGGACTTTGTCGACAATCATCCCTCATTATGTATTCGCTCAGGTTCTTCAACTACAAATTTTATGAATATTTGATACCCTGATGGTTTTCTTTGATGAGATTAAGAAGAGACCAATGGGTTTTCACTTGATATCTTCAAAAAAATATTAATTGATTTAAATGTTATAGAATAAACGTCAATTTCTTTTTAAATTTTCAGGAAGTGGAATAGTGATGTCATTCATTAGAGGATGTACAAATGGAAAGGCATTCTCCCTCAATGATTTCCCTAATAGAACGATAGTTTCTGACAATCAGACGACATGTGCCTACAGGCCGGACAGTGGGAAGGTTGTCGTCTGCTTGACAATTTGTAAAACAGATTTGTGTAATGGGCCTCAGCCTCCATTACACGATGGAGCCTCTTCCAATCACTTTTGTTCTTTTTTGACTATACTGGCGCTACTACTTGTGAATATAGTGAATTCTTTCTGTGAATCTTGAAGGCAAACTAGTATCAAAGGAAATTTACTTCTTCTTGAATTTTCTTTTTCTTTTTGAACTATACAAGGATTTTTCATAAATATTTTTATGTTATTTAGAATATTATGATAATACATGTGTATATATATAACTTTTTAAGGAACTTCTGTTGAGACATTACTGTGGGATAACTAACTTACAGTTGCTAAATGGTCATAGGTAATTTCATCAGAATTTTATAAAAAAGCGATTAAAGGATTGATTTTTAAACACTTCAACGACATGCCTCTTATTAACTTTTTGAGGAACAATGTTGAATATAACTTTCTGTATTAATGAATAGAAAATGAATGTCAATATTTTTTCAGCAATACCTTGTTTCCTACCAAACCTCCATACATAAACTATTAATTGTCCTCTCAATTTATAATAAAATACGGTAATATATATATATATATATACAATTTTATATTGAGTTCCATTTTACGTATTTGCAAGCATATTGTATAATTTACGATTCTTATTTTTTGTTTCATATATTTTTAGAAAAAAAATGTATGAATGTCATATCTATATTAAATTTCATATTTACTGTTATAGAAATATTCCTTCTTTCAAAGGCATGCTCCCAAAAGTACCCATTGGATTATACTTTACACCATTTCTATTCTGGTAATACATATTGCCTGGTCCCTAAAAACACATGTTCTGAAGAAAAATATTGACAACAGTTGCATGCAATCCTTTAACGTTCAATCATAATTAACTCCAGAGAGACAAGAAATACATGACCATGAAGACATTTAGAGAATTCTAGAATTAAGCACCGGTATTTTCATTTTATTTTCCTCGTTGAATTTGTTTTACATTAAAATTTAAAAATATACACTTGATACTGTGTTAAATCATGATGGAATAAGGACTCTTCTGGGAAACCGTTCAGTCTAAATTTATTCTGTTAAAGTTGTGTGTCTGAAAGGAAAGAGGTGAAGTCGGGATTCAGAGGTTGTTGAAAGGAGCTAAGAATATCTAAGTTTTTGGGCCTTGTATCCATTCTCTTTGACATATTTTCAATAAAATATGTTCAAAACAAAACTGATTTTACCATATTGTCGCAAAACCGTGAAATTACATTTATTATGCAATTTTCGCTCCTGTCAACCCCTTACCTGAAATACCTTAGCTGTTTCGCTTATACCAGATAAGGTTATCAGGTTTTATTTGAAATAGGACCTGCATTATCTCATTTTGCTAGTTTATTTTATTGATCTTATTTTATCTGAAATCACTTCGATGGAAGATAACTTTAATGTGGATCTGTTTTAGTTTCCTTTTTGGAGGGTTATGTGAAATTATGTTTTTCTTTTTTCTTTTGTTTTGTGCTAACATCTATACCTCAGGTACGAGAACCTTTCTTTTAAATAGTGTTTGACGAATTTAGCAGCTTATATCAAATTGTTGTTCTCAAAGACGCCAATTGTCATGCTTGAACAACGTACAAAATGTACAGTATAGCAATGATCTCAAGAACTCGCTTGTAAAGAAATCTCTGATATAAAGAAACTTTCAAACATCCTACAGAAGACTTTTAGAGTTTGCATTCAAGGGGTGTAAAGCATAGCTTCCTTAAGGTAGGACTCATATTTCTATTATTTAAAAATTAATGAAATGAATCAAGAAGACAATATCAGTAAGAAATAGTATCAGTGAAATTAAAGGTTTTATATTGCTCAAGGTCAACTTCCTTGACATTAAGAATAAAAAAATACTGTTGCCAATATGATTTACTTCATCAAACAGATTGTATTGATGAAAGCCGCAACAAAAAACAATGTACATGTATTAGCATTTTTATTTATATTTAACTTTTTCTTATTTTCATATAATAAAGTACTAATAAATGTACAAAATGATACAAAAACAAAAAACCGAAAGTAAAATTTGATTGACGTGTTGCTTTAAATAATAAAATCAATTTAAAATATATTTAACTCACAATGGTTTTTAATGTTAGTTTTCAAACGCAGTTTAAAAAATACAATTGTGGAGTGAAAAATATGTCTTTTAAATTCCTTACACCTCAATATATAAGACATATCAAATATACTTTGAATGTTTCATACATGGAAACAATACACAAACAAACTGAAAGCCGCAACAAAAAACAATGTACATGTATTAGCATTTTATTTTATTTAATCTCACTTGAACCGAAAGTAAAATTTGATTGACGTGTTGCTTTAAATAATAAAATCAATTTAAAATATATGTAACTCACATTAATTTTTATTCTGTGGAAAAATAAAGGAATGAAATATGAGATAGCGAACAGAAATCAAGTACCTTGAAACAATACAAACTGGAAGATGAGCGAACACAGTCCTGTTTATCGCTTATATAGAAAAGGTTGCTGATCCAAGTTGAATTTATCGCGTTTACCTGAAAGTTTTGTTGTTATGTTACCATTGAGGTCTTTTTCTAATGAAGTAACTGAATATGAAACAGAAATATCGGACTCTTCAAAGTAGTTTATTTGGAGGTTCAAAAGGATATATTGTATGAACGTAGAATTGAAATTGAAAACTTTTGATCAAACCTACATGTTGAATTAAAAGCAAGACACTTCTTTTCTTATAGTAATTTAAAAAATATTCTGTTTCTATTAATACAAAATGGTCTGCTAATAACAAATACTCATACATGGAAATTCCGCCAGATTCCTGGAAGACTTTATTTCAGAATCAAAAAAAATATTGATTTTGTCAATTAGATTTTTTTTTTTTAATTTTAGCTTCAGAGTAGTTGTATGTTCAATCAACCTTTTTTAAAAAAATAGTTTTGTTTATAATATATTTATTCATTTTGGAATGTAATGAACAGCACACATAAATGCCTATGACCGTTCTCTCCACAAAATAGTTTTGCATATGATCAATGGCAAGGTACAAGTTAAGAGATCCATTTTATTGAAAAGCAACAAAAACATCCTTTCTGATAAATGACTAGCATTAATTCGGAATAAACACGTGTATGATATCAGGTTTACACTTATTTACAGGTGCTATACTCTGCTACTGGTGTTCTGATTTAAATGCAGATGGATACTGTAAAAATGACATGGTTGTGCTCACACCGAACAATACTTGGAGGTACCCGAATTTTTTTAAAAATTGTGAAAAGCAAGACTGGGGAGATCAGTGCTCAATTGAAACAGTTCGTAAAGCAGGTATTGCTCTAAAGCATTTTTACTGTCATTAGTGTTTTAAACAAGAAAATGCTTACATTTTGTAAGGTGTGATGTATAATTTTTTGGTGTACAATGTATATGTGTATTAATTAAGCTTCTCAATGTAAAATAACTAATATACAAAGAAAAAAGCATTTTATTTTTTATAGTTTATATACATATAATAAAATAATCATTTAAAGTATTTTATTGTATTGCAAAAATAGCATTTTAGTAAAATCATAAAAGAACTTTCTTTCAAGTAATGTTAATCTAATTGCCAAAATCTTCTGTGAAATACAGACAAACTGATAGACCCTTTTACTTTTTCTCCTGTGTTATACTTTTAAGTGAATTTGAACACAAGTACTATGTAGTACATGAATCTAACCATGAAATAAATTATTGAAAACGTACAATGTATACACATATAATCATATAAAGCAGTCAAAAAGTTAACCTTAAAGTGAAAAGTTGAAAAATGAAATGTTTTTTACTGTCATTTTTGTGATGGAAAATTAATTTCTTCAGAGGTGTACAATGTTTATGTGTTTCTTTCGGTGATTTTCCATGTAGACAGTGGTATTCTAATATATCGTTTGAATTCAGAAAAAAACAAATGGGTTCTTTTTCAAAGGTCGTTTTGCAATGGTATATATCCGGGACAGGCTGGAGCTGTTTTACACAGTGGGGCCTCCATCAATCATTTTTGTTATCTGTTGAGCATATTGATGTTTCTACTTGTTAACATGGTGCAAAAAATTCTGTAAATACGCATTTTGGGAATAAAAAAGAAAAAAAATGTATATATGGGATCTAGTAACCTACAGCAACACTCTGAAGTATCAGCGTGCACATAAAAAAGTTTAATTACAACCTACACTACATATTCTATTACAATCTGATTATCATATTCTTATGTCAAACCAGTTTATAAACTTAAGGATGTGTTCTGCTGATTATAATTTTTTAATTGACTTTAGACAAGGAAAAACATAAACATACATGCACAGACACTCCGAGGCTGAAAGGCTTTTAAAAATTTGGAATATACACGAAATACGAAAATATGATTACACAAAAATGCTACTGACAATGGCAAATATTTACACATTTTCAAAAACGCAATTCCAAATAAACATCTTTCTTTTACACACAGGAATTTTATTTTTAACTTGTACAATTGTTCTTCATATCTAAAATATAAATATAAGTATCATATTTTGGATTGTAACATTTTGTTTTTGTTTTTTTTTTTTGATAGTTGAAAAAAATGTTGTTTAAGAAGGAGCAATTAGTGAATAAGTATGACCTTTCTGGGAAAACAAAGTATTAATGTGCAGATGATTTTTTAGAATTATTATTCCATTTTTTTTAAAATGCAAGCTGCTGATTCTTTTGTTTTGATAGTCTTCAGGAATATATGGACAATTCTTCATTGTATTTGGAAAATTCCAATTAGTCTTGAATCCCGCAATGTTTTATTTCCAAATTTTTAGAATATGCTCTTTTGCTCTTATTCTCCTTTTCTTATTTAGTTTTGAAATTCGATTTCAAATCATTAAAGTGAAAAATTGAAACGTTAAATGCATGTTATAACAGCAGAATACGTCCTTAAAGTTTTGAGTTCACTGCGAAATCTCATAAATTTTAGACCTGTTTTTATGTAACCTATTGCTATCCGTTTTCGTCCGTCGTCGTGCGTCGTCCGTCGTGTGTTAACATTTGAACATTTTCAGCTTCTTCTCTGAAACCACTGAATCAATTTCAACCAAATTTGGTATACAGCATCTATGGGTAAAGAAACAGAAATTGTGAATTTTATGGTCCCCGCCTCCCTGGGGCCTTAGGGGTGGGGCCAAAACCACTCAAATTAATGCAATCTTTAAAAATCTTCTTCTTTACTTCTGGACATCAAGCAGTCAAACTGTTTGCATGATTGTAATCAGCAATGAGTCCTCTACCAAAATTGTGAAATTCATGGCCCTGGGGTCAGGGGTTCTAGTGCTAGGGTGGGGCTAAAAAAGTATATAGTGAAAAAGCATTATTTCTTTGAAAATCTTCTTCTTTGCTCCTGGGCATTAAATAAACTAACTTAGTGCAAAGTCATGATGTCAAAGTGCCTTTACCAAAATTGTGAATTTTATGGCCCCTGATTATAGTTTTATAAGGGTGGGGCTCTATTGATTATATAGTGAAAATACATGAATTCTTTGAAAAT